CTCCTTCAGTTCCACTGAATCAATTTTTTGTTTCAACTCTTTTTTTGCATGTGTGTGTGTGTGTGTAGTTCAACTGAATTTCGGGTCGAAAAAATATAAATTTTTCTTTAAATTGATTTTTCAATTAGGAGAGGAATTTAGATTATCGAAATTATTTTTAGTTCAATTATACCTATTATGAAAATATTATTTTAAATAATTGAATTCTTGTGAAAAATTTTATTTGTGAATATAATTGAATTTTTCGATTAATTAATTTCACATAGTATTTAAAAATAATTGAAATTCTTCGATGAGAATTATTATTTATGAAAATATTTGAATTCTTGCTTATAGAATTTTAACAAATATTTTTTTTAAAAATTGATTTTTCATGAAAAATGTTACTATTGGTGAAAGTAATTGTATTATTGTGAAGAATTATATAAAAAGTTTGTTAAATAATGGATTTTTCTGAAATTTTTTTGAAAATTTTATTCTAAATTAATTGAATTCCTGTGGAAATTTTATTATTTATGGAAATAATTGAATTTTGGATGAATTTTATCAATTTTTATTTAAATAATTGAATTGTTTTGCGAAATTTTATAAAAATACTAAATATTAAAAAGAATTTAATTTCGAATATTTTTCAAATATAATAGAATACATTTTTGTGAATAGTTTTTTGATTTCTAGTATTAAAAAATTTAAAGTAGTGAAAATTCTCAAAAAATTTTTATTTTTTCAAGATGATTTTTTTAATTTTTTGAAAATAATTAAATTTTTTTAAAGAATTTTATAAAAATGTTTGAAAATAATTGAATTTCGGATAAAAATTTTATTATTTATTAAGATAATTGAAACTTTAACGAAATTTTAAAAAAAAATTTTGAAAATATTTGAACTTTTGACAAAATTTTTATTGAAATTTATGAAAATAATTGAATAGTTGCTAAGAATTTTATTATTTTTGAAAATGATTGAATTCCTGAGAAGAATATTTTTATTTATGAAAAGAATTGAATTATTGCAAAAAATTTTATTAAAGTTTTAAAAAGGAATTAAATTTCTGTGAAAAATTTTGTTATTTTTGAAAATAATTGAATTTTGGAGAAGAATTTTTTATTTTTTGTAGAGAATTTTTAAAATCTTTTAAAAATAATTAACATTTTTACAAGAATTTTGAAAATAATTGAATTTAGGAGATTTTTATTATTTATAAAGATAATTTAAATTTTGACGAGATTTTTAAAATTTTAGAACGTAAAATAATTGAAATTCTGCGATGAATTTTATTAAAGTGTTAAAAAGGAATTAAATTTCTGTGAAAAATTTTGTTATTTTTGAAAATAATTGAATTTTGGAGAAGAATTTTTTTATTTTTTGTAGAGAATTTTTTAAATTTTTTAAAAATAATTAACATTTTTACAAGAATTTTGAAAATAATTGAATTTAGGAGATTTTTATAATTTATAAAGATAATGTAAATTTTGACGAGATTTTAAAAATTTTAGAACGTAAAATAATTGAAATTCTGCGATGAATTTTATTATTTATGAAAATAATTGAATAGTTGCTAAGAATTTTATTATAATTTTCAAAAATAATTGAATTCCTGAGAAGAATTTTATTATTTATGGAAATAATTGAATTATTGCGAAAGATTTTATTTAAATGTTTAACAAGAATTGAATTTCAATGAAAAATGTTATTATTAGCGAAAGTAATTGAATTATTGTGAAGAATTGTATAAAAATTTGGTTAAATAATTAATTTTTTGAATTTTTTTTGAAAATGCTATTCTAAATTAATTGAATTTTATTAATTTTTTTTAAGTTTTTGAATTGTTTTGCGAAATTTTATAAAAAATACTGGATATTGAAAATAGAATTTCGAATATTTGTTGAAAATAATTGAATCGTAAGAATTTGATTATTATTTATGGGAATAGTTTTTTTTATTTCTATTCTTAACGAATTTAAAGTAAATTTAAAAAAAACAGAAATAGTAGCTTTTAGTGGGTGAAATATAAAAAAGTATTCTTTTGATTAAAAACAAAATTAGAAGCAAATAATTTTTTCATAACTAAATAATTGGTAATAAAATCACATTTTGTTGAAAATATAATTTAATCCTTAATTAAAAAAAACATAGGAAATATTTACTGCGATAGTGAAAAATGATAAAAATTTGTTCCTTTTCGTTCATTTTTCTTTTTTTATCAGCAATAGGTATACGCAAGTTGAAAACATTGTATATAAAGTCTACTGAATCAGTGTGACGTCATATACAGCGTTCTTGGGGAGTTATAACAGAAATGTTGTTTCGCGGAGTCGAGGACAATGAAACTACAAGTTTCATATCAGAGATGTGCCAATTTGAGAAGAGAGCATAATATACGGCCTGCAGTTTCAGAATGGGCGAGAGAGCATCGTATTGAACGTGCGCCCTCGAGAGTATATAGAATAAAACGAAACTGTGCCAAATTCAATTCACTGCAAGCGATGGTTATACGTCACTGACTCACAGCAAAAAGCTAGTTAGGAGGATCATTGTGCGGACAAACTTATACTGTAAATACTGCACACATTCGCTTCCAATGGCACAATATGAAGCCTGCGACAATTTTCCGCTTTTTATTTGGCAAACAAAAATTGAATGGAGGGAGGAAAAAAAAAATTGTTCACAAAAAAAAGGAGAATTTTCTCCTTTTTTCATATTCAACAAGTATTATTAAAAAATTCAAATATATGCTGAATTTGATTTAACATAATTTGTTCTGAATAAGATTTTTTTTTTTTGCTAAATTTTAAATATTAAAAATTTTCATTTCTTTAGTTCTTTCAGTATTTTTTAGTCTTTAGTATTTTCTATTTTTTAATTTAGTTTTTGCTAAATGAAAAAAGTTTTATTATTTTCGAGATGAAATATTTAAGTTAAAATTCTCCTAAGACTTACGTCTTAGGAGAATTTTAACTTAAATATTTCATCATTGTTGTTGCTAAAGTGTAAAAGACAGTTTAAACTTTAAAATGACGGAAATTTGGAATTGAAGTGATAAATTGAATAGGAGATAAGAAATTTGTATACCAGGACGAATATAGTCGACCTGAAGGAACAGGCAAGTTCAGGGCTTTCTGTAAGACTATGTTTTGAAGGCTGTAAGGCGTCCTAGACCCTTGAAAATGCACGCGAAGCTTATTGATCTGCTTGATGCAATAGAGGGTATACGTAATGAAGGCAAGTCGTGGGGTGGGCCAAAAAATCCCAATTGTCGGTGGCGACGTAGCATTGTCTGACCATAGCCGACTTGTACTACTTACCATTTTTAAATCTTTCGTCAAGAATCTGCAATTTTTTCGTCACTTAAAGTAATTTTTGCCACAGAAAAGAAATGATAAAAAAAACTAAAAATGAATTTCTTTTTTATTAAATTAATTTCGAAAAACTTATCTCCAATGTGTATAGTGTAGTTTTTTTTTTAATTTTGAACCTAAAAGTGTAATAAATTAGAAATATTGATTTAACAAGAAAACTGTATCTAACTATTATCTTCATTTGATTATTATTATTATCATTATTATTAAAAAAGGGAAAAAGATCATAAAAAGCTTGGTCTGACTGAAACTGAGTTCTACTACTTAAAATTAAAAATTCTAAAATTATATATCAATTAAGAGAAAAAATATTTTTTTTTCTTTCTTCAAGGAAAAAGAATCATTACAAATAATAACATGGAATAATTTTGAAATATTTGTCTGACTAAAAATTACTTCTACTACTTAAGATCAAAATTGATCAAATTGTTTGAAGAATATTTTAATTTTCCTCACGTAAAGAGAATGGAATAATTGTAGAAGTAATAGGTAGAATAATTTCTGAATATTTGTCTGACTAAAAATGACTGTTACTACTGAGAATTTAGAATTATAAAATAGCATCAATTATTTATCAATTAAGGGAAAATTATTTATTTTACTACATCAAGGAACAAATAATTAAAAATAATCAGTAAAATAATTTTAAAATATTTGTCTGACTGAAACTGACTTCTACTACTGAAAATCAAAAATTTTCAAATTGTCTTTTGCTAAATAACACAATAAGAATATTTTAATTTTACTGTATAGAATAAATATAAATAATAAGTACAATAATTTAGAAACATCATGGTCTGACTAAAACTGATTTTTACTACTTAATATTTAAAATTATTAAATAACGTCAATTATTTATCACTAGAGAGAAAATAATATTCTCATTTTTTTATACATGAAGGAAAAAAAAATTTATAATTAAAAAAAAAAGTAGAATAATTTTGAAATATTTGTCTGACCAAAAATTACTTCTACTACTTAAGATAAAAAGTGAACAAATTGTCTGAAGAATATTTTAATTTTCCTCTGTCAAGAAAAAGGAATAATTATAAAACTAATAGGTAGAAGAATTTCGGAATATTTGTCTGACTAAAAGTGACCTTTACTACTGAATATTAAGAATTATCTACTACTGAAAATTTTATGTTTACAATAATGCATCAACTATCAATGGAAATATAATAACTACTAAATTATACTCTATAGAGAAAGTATAGAATATTTTAGAAATATTTGTCTGACTAAAACTGACTTCTACTACTTATGAATTAAAAATCTCAAATTCAAGAATTTATTCATCAATTGAGATAAAATATTTTCATTTTATTATTAAATATCTTCATTTAAGTATAAAAATATAATTTTTTTCTTTGGAATTAGTAAATTTTACTAATAAATTACTAGAAATTACTATTTACAAATTGAACTTACTAATTCAAAGGCAAAAAGTCAGTCACTAATTCAAGTAAACATTTTTACTAATTCAAGTAAAAATTTTCAAAAGTTCAAATAAACATTTTTAAAAGTTTAACTTTAGAGAGAGTGCGATAATGAAGAAAAGCGACTAAAGAGAGAAGAGTGAATAAAACAAAGAGGCGAATTTTTTTTGAGGTGAATTTTATAAAATTTTCTATTGCTTTTTTGACAAAATCATTTTGTTATATTTTCCGTAAACTTTACCGCTTCGAGTCACTTTGTAATTCATCATTGGCGACGTTTGAATGAATGAAGCTCCCGTCACGTGAGGTCCATCACCTGTAATAAAATTCAATTTTTATCAATAAAAAAATTGTATCAATAAAAAAATTTTTTTATTAATAAAATGTATGGAAGAAAAAATTTATTATTCGATATATTTTATTTACTTTATTTATTGGACTTTAGTATATTTATTTATTTACTTTCTTTATTCTATATAGAAAAATTTGATTCATTTAAAATTTCTTTCTTTTTTTTCTAGAAAAAAAATTTTTTTTTCATAACTAATTAAAGTTAATTGGTGATAATTTTTCACCTGTGCAAAGTCTTTTAACTCGGGTTTTAATTCCAGTGTTGTGCTTCGAATTGAGTATATAGCAGAGCTTTTTTTGATGTTCTTTGGTGATGTTTTGTGCGGTCGTCGCTGTGGCTTTTGGCGCTTGCACCGCTTTGACATTAACTGGAATTACTCGTCGTTTGAACAATTTTAAGGGTGACATGGCGTGAACTGCTTTTGATATCCGACGACGGCATCGCCATAAAACTGCTGCAGTTGCAAACCATGCAAACCACGGACCAGCCCTGGAATGTGGAATAGGCTCTCTCGCCCACAGAAACAACATCTAAAAAAAAAATTCTCCTCATTAGGAAATAAAATTCTATTCTAATAGTGAGAAATAAAAATTTTTCTTCAATATTAATTATAGAAAAAAATTTATTATAATATTTAATGTAATTTATTATTTTTATTCTATTTTTATAAATTAGCAAGGAGAAGCGGCCCCCCACCACGCGACCGGTATGGTGGGGGGACGCTTCTCCTACTCCAGTACTTGGATAAAATTTTCTTAAATTCATTCATTATTTATTATTAAATATTTATTTATATTTTGATTTATTTATTACTCACTTAATTTATTATTTTAATTTTTTTTTATTATTTTTTTATAATTAAGTATTAACTGTTATAATAAATAAAAGAATTTAAACAACTTTTACTAAATAAATAAACATAAAATAATCAAAAAAGACAAAAATGCTTGCAAAAATGAATAATATAAAAATTTTTGGACAATTTGAATGAGAATTTAAATTTCAGAAAATAAATCCGCTGTTTAATGATTCAGCAAAAAAAAATAAATTTATAAATAAACGAAAATTCATTAATTAAAAGACAAACGCTGATTTTTCCAATGAAGTTGAATTTGTCGGTTCAAAGAATAGTAGTTAAATATTTAGTGCGGATGAGTGGTTTCAGGGAAACGAGCTTTTGTGGTCATCAAATATTCGCTTAACGATTGAAATTTCAGTTATTTTTTAATTTTCAAAAAAAGAAAAATAAATAAAGCTACGCAGGTAAAAAATTATTTTCCATCGAATATTTAATGGATATAAAAAACCAAAAATAAGCTAAAATAAATAAAAAAGTAGAGCAAAATTTGAAAACAAAAAAAAAATAAACGAAATAGAATAGTAATTTATTTAAATTCTTTCAATTTTAAAAATTGAAAAAGTTCTTTTATGAAAATTTTCGCAAAATATTCGCAAAATATTCGCCCTCGAAAAATGAGCAATGAAAATTAAATAAAATAAACTGACCTTATAAATCCACTCGTTGGCTTGTTGCCTGAAACTCAAAGGATGATCGACTAATCGAAACATAGAAGGGCCGTAAAACGATGTTTCAAATAAATCGTCGAATCTTCAAGCGTTGATGAAAAACAAATTCTAAAAAAATTTCTTCTTTCATTTCCTTTTCATTGAAAATTACAATATTTTTTGTTTAATACTTTTCTTGAACTTTAAACTCAATTTTAATAAACAATTAGATCAAATTAAAAACGTATCAAATAAAATCAAATCAAATCAAATTAAAGAAAATTAAATTAAATTAAATTAAATAATAATTATTAAAAAGGTCAAAAATTATAATCTAGTTATTAAATTATTAAATTACCAAAATGTGGATTTTCAAAATAATTTCAATTTCTTTTTTTCACTATATTTCTCGACTGTGTTATATCATTTTTTTTTTCTAACCAAAAAATAAATAAATTCACAAAATAAAAAAAAAAATACCCGGCGATCTCGCGCCGAACGCAATAAGCGTTCGGTTCGCGACGAAACACTCTATCCGTGGAAAAAAATTATTTTTCAATGCACTAGTTGTTTTATTATGAAATCAACAGAAAACTGATCAATGACAGAATTTTTAACCCAATGATTTTGTAATTTTTGCATATCCTTTTCACTGATAATTTCTACATTCGATGAATTCCGTTTGAATTGAAAATTAGATTAAAAACACAATTCACACGTTTGGGCATGTATTTAATTAAAAAAAAAAAATTTGTAAATATACTTAAAAAAATATAAATAACATATGAAGGGAAATTTAGACAAAGGATCGCCGATTAGTTGACACTATTGACTGACGTTACTCTGCACTTGCCTCGTCTGAAGTTTGCTAATAATTTTTTATTAATCGCCTTGTGAGTTGAATTAAAAATTTTTTTCTTATTATTTGCTTGATAATAAATAATATTTATTTATTGATTTTTACATTTTCTGATATTTATTGATTTAGAAAAAAATTGGTTTTAAATACTTTACACAACTGCCAAAAATTTCATTCTATATTTTATTTTCCTGACTTTTTCCTAATTTTCATCAAAAATATTTACTTCTTTCTTATCCTGGCCTGCTAATAAACTGAATTCCTTTAAAGGATTTTATTATTCATGAAAGAATTTAAATTTTCGAATAATTTTATTTAAAACATTTTTAAATAACTAAGTTCTTTCGACTAATTTTATGCAAATTTTACTTTAAATAATTGAATTCCTAAGAAATTTCTATATTACATATTCATAAAAAGAATTGAATTCTTACGAAACATTTTACAAAAAAAATTTTAAATTTTAGAAAGAATTCTATTAAAATTTTGGAGAATAATTAAATGTCTGTGTCGCATTTTATTAAAATATTTATTATTTTTAAATAATTAAATTTCAAAAAAAAATTTATTACTTTTAAAAATAATTGAATTCTTGTTATGAGTATTGTTATTCATGAAAATAATTAAATTATGCAAAGAATTTTATTAAAATGCCTCAAAATAATTGAATTTTGGAAAGAATTTTATTAAAAAACCTCAAAACATTTGAATTTTCAAGAATAATTCTGTTATTTATCTTTAATAATTGAATTCTTTCAAAGAATTATTTATGTAAATAATTGAATTCTTCGGAAGAATTCTAACAATTTTATTAAAATATTTGAAAATAATTGAATTCCTGGGAAAAATTGTAATATTTTTGTAAATAATTGATTTCTCCCAAAGAATTTGAAAAAAACACATTTTTTTAAATAATTGATCTTTTGAAGGAACGGAAATTAAATTTTTAAGAATAATTACATTTTTTGAGCAATTGCAAGAAGAAATTTATTACTTTTAAAAATAATTGAATTCTTGTGATGAATATTGTTATTTATGAAAATAATTGAATTATGCAAACTATTTGATTAAAATGACTCTAAATAATTGAATTTTCAAGAATATTTTTGTTATTTATCAAAATAATTGAATTCTTACGAAGAATTATTGAAGTAAATAATTGAATTCTTCGGAAGAATTCTAACAATTTTATTAAAATATTTGAAAATAATTGAATTCCTGTGAAAAATTGTAATATTTTTGTAAATAATTAAATTCTCCCAAAGAATTTGAAAAAACACATTTTTTTAAATAATTGATCTTTTCAAGGAACTGAAATTAAATTTTTAAGAATAATTACATTTTTTGAGCAATTCCAAGAAGAAATTTATTACTTTTAAAAGTAATTGAATTTCCAAAAAGAAATTTATTAGTTATTACTTTTATAAATAATTGAATTTCCAAGAAGAAATTTATTACTTTTAAAAATAATTGAATTCTTGTGATGAATATTGTTATTTATAAAAATAATTGAATTATGCAAACTATTTGATTAAAATGACTTTAAATAATTGAATTTTCGAGAATTAAATAATTATTTTTAAATAATTGATTTTTTCAAGAAGTCCAAGTAAATTTTTTTAGGATAATTACATTTTTTGAGCAATTCTTGTAAAGGTGTATTAAAAATAATTGAAATGCTGCAATGAATTTTATTAATATTTTCAAAAATAATTGAAATTCCCAGAAGAAAGTATGAAAATAATTGAAGTATTGCGAAAAATTTTATTAAAATGTTTAAAAAGAATTAAATTTCTGTGAAAAATTTTGTTATTAATTTTTGAAAATAATTGAATTCTTCGTAAGAATTTTATAAACATTGTTTTAAATAATTAATTTTTTTGAAGTACAATGAATATTATGAAAATTTTATTTTAAATAATTGAATTCTTGTAAAATACTTTATTTGTGAAAATAATTGTATTTTTTGATTAATTAATTTAAAATAGTATTGGAAATTTAAAAATAATTGAAATTCTTCGATGAGTTTTATTATTTATGTAAATAATTGAATTATTGCTTAGAATTTTATTAAAAACTTGTTTAAAAAATTGAATTTTCATGAAAAATGTTAAATATTAGTGAAAGTAATTGAATTATTGTTATTGTATAAAAATTTTATTAAATAATTGATTAATTTCATTTTTTCGAAATTTTTTTGAAAATCCTATTCTAAATTATAATTGAATTCCTGGTGGAAATTTTATTATTTATGAAAATAATTGAATTCTTGGAAAGAATTTTATCAATTTTTTTTAAATAATTGAATTTTTTGAGAAATTTTATGAAAATACTAGATATTGAAAATAGAATTTCGAATATTTTTTGAAAATAATTGAATCGTTTTAAAGAATTTGATTATAATTTTTTCGAATAGTTTTTTGATTTATATTCTTAGCGAATTTAAAGTAAATTTAAAAAAAAACAGAAGTAGTAGTTTTTAGTGACTGAAATCTGAAAAAGTATACCCAAATAGTAGTATAACGTAAAAAAATTAGTAAATTTAGTTATTTTTATTTATTCCTTTATTTATTTTCACTTATTTCTTTATTTATTATTAAATAAAAAAAATTTCCTTCCTTGTTTTGAATATATTTGAAAATTGATTTCCACTTGCGACGACGAGTTATATAAGAATTTTTGATAAATCCAATATATTGAATGTTTCTGTATTATAAAATTGAAAAGTTATAAGTGAATTTTCCATTTTATCAGTATTCGTGTGCGCAATTACTAGTTACAATAGAAATCGAATCATATTTCATGGACGTGGATTCTGAAATCAGTAAATATAGGAAGGTATACGTCACACGCCTAGGCTTTGACCTACTGACACGATCCTGTGACGTCACGGGAACGAGGAAGCAGGTGGTTATGTATATATAGAGACACATACACTATATATATATATTCCTCAACAAATGTCTGGGGACGCACATAGAGAACGTGGAGAGAAATTGACCCACCTTTCCAGCAAAAGGAACTGCGCGCACAGGTGCTAAATTCATGGAAAAAAAATTTACATTTTTCCCTTTTCTTTAAAAATCCCCCAACAAGATTGTGAATAATGGGAAATGATGCTGAGAAACTTTTTTTTCTTTTCATTCTTATATCTGAATGTGTGTATGATTTAAATTGAATGTAATTGCAGTTTTATTTTATTTTATTCTATTTTATTCCAAAACGACTTTTTTTCAAAATTTACATCAATTTTTCCACCTTTTCTTCTATACCTATATTTGTTTTCATTTTTTCCCTAAACTTGTGGAGGCGGAATTTTTTTTCAGATTGTGCCAATTTTGATCAGTAATTATTTTGATCATAAATTATAGAAACTGTTTTTTTTTCTTCACGAGAAATATAATCGTTGGAAAATGGAAAACATTTTTTTTAAAAAATACTATTTTCCACAGAAAAAAAATACTATTTTCATGCACGCTGCTGTTATAAATAAAAATGTTACCAAATTGAAAAGTTGACATAAATTCGCTTTCATATAAAGAATGTTGAAATTCAATTTAAAAAAAGTCGTTGCTGTTTCTATTTTTTAAACGTGTCACAATTTTATAAAAATAATTTTTTGTTTTGTTCGCTCGACAATTTAACTTGACGGCCAATTTTGCCCTCTAACGAAGAAAAAAATGAAGTTTAAACTTCGTCATAAAAAAATTATTTAGTTTTCAAATCATTTTGCAAACTGATTAAATTGAAAACTAAATTATTTTTTTCAAGAAATTTCGGACAGAAATAATATTTCTTATTTTATGATAATGAAAAAAAGAACATGGAATAATAAAAATATTATACAAATAAAATTATTAACAATTCATTCGAGTTAAGTCTTATCTGATTAGATTTAATTATAATCAGACATTTACAGTTTCTCAACACTAATTATCTCCACCTTGGAGAATTATAGAATATTCATCGAATCATTTCCCCTTACAATTCCCAATTCATTACAATACATACTGAATTTAGAACGCAATGTTCAGAAATAGAATACAAATAATTTCAAATAAAATAGAATTTTTTTCCCTAACTTTCTAAAGATTTTACTCATTTATTGAAATTTTAATGAAAATTAAAATTGAACGTTAAAATTTGTTTGGAAATCTGTTCAAATTTAAAATTTGTTGAATATTTCAAATTTTCAAGCTTAAGTTTAAATTTACAACAAAACAAGTAAAGAAAAGATTATAATA